GAGAGAGAATGACAAAGATAAAGATAAACACAACAAAGAGAACATGACAATCACTGAAACAGAGAGAGAGAGCGAGAGAGAGAGAAGTGGTGACAGTTACAGATAGACAGAAAAATGACGGAAAGATGGAGAGGTGGCAACATAGACAGGCAAACAGACAGATCAAACCAATTTTTTTTTCAGTTTAATAACTCACCTGCTCATCTGACAATCCCTCCTCGTCCATTGTCCTTTCAAGCAGACGGTACCTGCACATAGTGATTTTTATTTCGTTTTAATTCCATTGTTTCAGTAAGTTCAATGGCATATTTGCATCACAATTTTTTTATAGTAGAGGGTTTTACGGCGCTCGCAACTGCATAAAAGGTCATATGAGCGCTAAGGGGTGGGTGTCAACAGAGAACAAGTCTTTACAGGGAATCAGACTTAGACTGCTCACCTCTCTAGCTTCAACAGCACAAGGTCTGCTTCGACTATCAAGGCACCCCAAAATAGCTGGTCACAAGGGAGTGACAAACATACAAAAGAAGTATCTTAGAGGAAAATGAGTAAGGATCAGGAAAAAAAAAGCAGCAGTTCCCTGTTGTAGATTTTATGAGCGTGACATGAATTAGCCCATTTACAATTCTACTACGCTTGAACGAGATATGTCCCCCCTTTGGAAATGGCCTAAAGACTTCAGTCAATGGCATTGCCCCGAGGGGTTAGGTAGGGACAGAAAGCAATAGCAGCTCCAGACTAGCCATAGAAGACAATGCCAGATGGCAACAAACAAGGACAGAAGTCAAGGCAAAACTAGCAGCAGACAACAACAAGAGGGCAATGTGACACACAGGGACAAAGACAGCAGTAAACCGTAAGAAAATAAAATCTCCAATTGTTTTCTTCAATATACATTATAAGAACAATCTCCATAAACCAAAAACCACTCTGTACACCAAAGGAGATCCAGCGGTACCACAGATTTCTGTTCAAGCAGACTCCACTGTATACAGGTATAAATCAAAATGTGTTTGCTTTTTGGTATTCCTTAAACTTTTGAGGCCCCACGTCGAGCCAAGTGTCATCCCACTCACCTGCATTCTCGCTCATCATTTTGAGAGACGAGGTTGGTGTAGTAGTTCTCGAGGGTGACCTTCGCCTTGGTCACCTTGTCGATGGTGTGGTTGCTGATTTGCACTTGCTCTCCTACTGTGGCCATTTTGGAGCGGCGACTCTGTGGGATCAACAACACTGGCAGTTCAAAAACTACGTCTTGTAGCACTCATTTCTCACACATGGAAGGAGACACCAAGTATTGCATAAGAGTAGTAATTCACAAAGAGGTATCAAAGTGATTGTCAAAGTGAATTACTGCCTGCAATGTTCTTTTGTCCTTTAAGAAAACAAATTGTCGTTGTCTTTCATCATAGTTTTAAGTCGTATGTCAGAATAGGTTTATAGGAAAAGCAGAAAAAATGTTTATTTTGATCATGCAAACTGTTTAATTCATCTAAATCCATTACTTTTTTTTTAAAAGAAATAAATGGCCGATCGATGGGCCTCATCAACATCCACAACATATATTAACATACTTGATTTTTATTTTCTTTCGAATTTTGACAAATTTTACTACAATGCTGAAGCAACGAAATGAATTTGTTCAATTGAGTACAGAGAGCACATAGATACAATAACAATCATTTAGAAGCAGGGAAAAAGTATGACACACAAATAGAAATGACAGAGGGAAAGAGATGAACTATGACCTCGTACTAATATTTATGACGTCCTCCATCCACCCGTGGAACACCAACTTTTCCAGTTCAAACACTTCATTTAGTTACCCATTTCTGAGAATTTCTCCATCATAAAAGCATAATATAGAGAAAGTGTTGTACAGGAGAAGCAATTCACATAGGAATCATAGCGAATTACTCCCTTCAACATTCTTTCACTAATGGGGGTACTTTATGAGGATGACATAATCAAAACAGCGAAAAGAAGTGTAAGAGGAATCTAAGCGGAAGCCACAGCCACACCGGACTGTGAAACTGTAAATGTAAATGTTTCACATCTCTTCGACACAACTGGAATCATTTAGGGGCCAACTGATTAGACCCTTCCTGTCAGAGCCAAGCTAGGCTGAGAGGGGAACAACATATATACATCCTTGCATACAAACCAAGACACATTTGATAATACAACATCCCAGGAGGCAACCAAACTCGCACATACAAATATATGTATTCTGTGGGTAATGGCGAAGAGCAGAAAAGCACGGTACATTACATGGTTCTTTCTGGCAACAGATGAGGACAATAATAAGAACAGAAAAAAAAGTAAAAGGAGGGTCAGACCTATCAGAAGATTTAGGAAGCAGCGACACTTACATCAAAATAGGAGTAGCTCTGAAATCTAGGCTGACAGAGATGACAACATCAAATCTCTCACTGCCCATTCACTAACTCAAATTCAACAATCACAAATCAAAAGCTTTCAAAAACACAGAGAACCCTCAGTAAAAGGCTGCTCGGTGAAAAAAATACAGTAGAATTCATAAAACCATCCTATAGGACTAGAGGTCAAAACTAGTCAAACCGAAGCAACAAGTTACTGAGCAAACCTAAAATACACCTGTCATAGCACTTCATGTATATATATACATTGTTTCCCAATCATTACAATGGCTGCCCATTTGTTCTTCACGCGCACAAACAGCCTTCCAGTGTTCATAATCTTTGACCCTTTAAGGAAGTAAATTCTGACAGCACAAACCAGCTCTGCACGATTTCTTCCTCGTTAGAATTAGAAACAAGAAGGTTTTACAGATTAAGTGTGATCTTTATTAAATTGTTTTTTATATCAAAGCCAAGCCTACTACATTTGGGCGGCTGCATTTTTGTTTTCACAGCAAGTTTTTGTCAGGTTGAACAATAATTTAAAGTTAAGCAGATATAAAAATCACTACTGATGTTACAAACCAGCATACAGTACACTGTAAGCAAAATCAGCTGCCCCTCTCTTCCCAGACCATGTGCAAAGGTTGCTAGAGAGCCATAAATTGTCAAGATAATATGGCCTTCTCTCACTGTGTACACAAAGGCTGTCAGAGAGTGTGAGAGAGAGCCTTCAATCGTAAAGATAATCTCGACTGCTCAGTAAGATTTTCCGTCCTACGTCACTTTTCAAAATGGCGTAGGTGTATGGCGGAGTCTAAACGCAGTCGACTTGTCCTGCTCTTACTGTTTACAAATGTGTGCTCAAGAGTCCAATTTATTTTTTTATTTATACCTCCCACAGAATCTCTATTTCCACAGTGTGGTCCCTGTTCAAGAAACAGTCGACAGTAGAATCCTCAAAGTCATTTTTATTATAGCATGCTAGTTTGTTTGTTTTTTTTGTACCACACCAGAAAGTGCTATAAAACACAATTCTTGAAAAGCATTATCTAGTTCCTCTTTCTTCAGGCACACACACAATACATCTGTGTTAGAATTAGAAACTTTCGGTAGTGCAAGTAGTTGGTATTGGTCTAATTTTGTGTGTTTTGTGGACATTTGAATTCTTTTTTTTTTTACTGTCTGATCCTCATAAACTGAACTCCCTTCGCTTCAGCAAAATAAAATGTGGAGTATAGAATTGCATCACAACTAATATTTTGGCATCAGTGAAGTAAAGAAATTTAAGTCTAAAACTTTGTCATTTCATTCACATCCTCTCTGAGTCAGTTCCCGTCGTACTCTCTACTTCTTTGCCAAGCATAAATTGGCATATAAAACCATTGTGATACAATCAAGACCAGGTTACGCTGTAATTAATAAATCTAGTTTTTATCTTCCAGAGGCCTAGATTTAGTAAATTCATATTATTAAGAGTAATCCCGTTGAGATTTTGGCGGGTGCTTTTTAAAATGATGTGTTTTGCTTGGTTTGGGTCATCTAATACTACATTGTAGTTTATTGAATAAAACTTGTTTAAAAGCCAACATAATATTCTCCTTTTGGGATGAAAGAATTTAAAAGTAGTTTGTTTTCTGAG